ATATTAAAAGGAGAAGTCTGATAACCCTTTTTTCCATCAGTGTTTTTTCAAAATCGGGTTTCTCGTTTGTTGAATCAGCTAGGACTGAACCTAGGGCCTAATGAAGACATGATAGTTTATGAAGATTGTGGCTACATTAAAAAGCAAGAATAAATAACTAGGAACAGATCAGGAACTGAACAGCATAGAATCAGTGTTTACATGTTCTGGATTAGTGAATGTGATGTAAGCATTGAATTGAACACATGCCAGATGTTACATGTTAGTTCTGGTTTTTGTTTCAGGGAAATTTTGATGTGATCTAGTATTGGATGCTATTACCATTGCCATAAATTTGTCTTGCTTCCTTACCCACGCAACTCAGGAAGATACACACAAGCAACTGGCAGTCCTGTTTGGATTCCAGAGGGAGATTAGAGTTTGCCCTGAGGATCTGGTGAACAGCCTGGAATAGACAAGTGACTAAGACCTTAGGAGATCTAGGAGACTAAGACTGAGAATCTCTACAGACTAGGATTGCTTAGAATTGTTCCTATAGTCCTTTCTCTTTGCACCAATTATGGGCTATGCCATGGTTCTCTGAGGACCTCTGGGAGATTAAATTTGAAAAGAATTGCCTAGGCCTTCATTGGAAGAAGAGAAACAGCTGATTTGTATTGTGGTAAAAGGTGATGAAACTTCTCTATTTCTCCATCTTTATAATGCTGTGGGAAAATGACCTTGGGGGATGGGGTGCCTATGAAAGAGGAGACCCTCCCTAATTTCTTCAGCTGTAATGGTGATGGCAGGAGAAATATATTTTCAGATTTGCAACATTGATATCAGCCTTACCACATATGCTCAGACAGGGAACATAATAGATAAGCTAAGTCTACTTTGTTGTAAAGCTACATTAGCAGAATCTTGCATTGGATTCTTCAGCCCAGACAGTTTTTATCTAGTTTCCAAACTTTCTTTGTGAGAAAAATTGTTGAAAAGTGGTTGGACAGCAACAAGACAGGGATTTGGAGGAAGTGGATTATCTGGACTTGTTTCAGTTAGATTTTAGGGTAGGGTACAGCACTGAGACTGAATTGATCACATTTGTTGATGACCAGGATGGGAATGACACATCCATCCTTGTGTTTCTTGATTTCTAAGTTGTCTTTACCTATTTTCATTGCTGATTTGAAAGCTGCATTATTTAGCAGATTCAATTACCAATGCCAGTGTTACCCATAAAGCTCTTTCTGGGGCTGTTTATTTGGGGATGGCCAATCTTGTTTTTGTCTGTTCAGTAACTTCAAACGGAGTGTATATGCTTTGGGTCCCTTCAATTATATGTTGCTGCCTTGTGGGACTGAGGATAGATCCAGATAGTCTGTCTGTCAGTCTGGCTGGCTGGCATATGTAAAGGTATCCTGAATCTCAACATCAATTGGACCCACATGCATCCCAGAGTACACATGCATGCAGAGATCTAAGCAGCAGACCCAAACCCAACATGTGCTATTTTTTTAATCAACATCACTTGTGTGTGAAACCAGTGTGAACGTCAGTACTTTAGTGCATGTGTGTGCACATACATTATTAATTTTATGTATAGAGTTGCTTTTCTTGAAGATCACATATATTAATTGACCCAGATTGCATGTAGCTTCCTCAAAAGAATCTTCAAACACAAGTTGTGTATGTATGCATGCGCACAGCTACACATATACCACCAAAACCCAATCTAATAATCGGCTTGTCAGAATTAGTTTAAGAAAAAAAAGGTAGAATATAGTTTGTTTTTCTCATTGTCTCTTTCTCTCTCTGTTTTTTTTCTCTCTCTGTGTGTCTCTGTTTCTCTGTTTCTCTCTGTTCCTCATTTCTTGCTCTCCATGTATGCATAGATAAATAGACAGACAGACAGATAGACAGAAGCAGTTCCATCAAATAAATGTACCTTGAGAAGTGGCATTTGATCTGGAAATAGCTAGCAATTGTATGGAGTGTACTAATCTGAGCACTGGTATTAATTTTAGTCCAATTGTGGCTTTATCAGACCAAGATTATCTCACAAAACCTGATGCTATGTGTGACAGAAACCTTTGCTTTTTCATGCCAGTATATAAATAAGAGATATTTGCCACCAGTCAGAACTGCTCCAGGATTGAGTTCAGTTGTCCCTTGATGCAATTTGTTTATAGTTTACACTCTAGTTAATCTTCCAGTTAGATCCATAATGGTTCTCACACTGGGCCCTAGGCTTTTTTAGTGCCTGTTGCTTCACTCCAAATTCTACACCCATTACTCCTCAACTTGTCTAAATCATTAGCAGTAGGGTATGACCAGTCACTTCAACTGAGCTGGTCCAGTAAAAAATAAAATAAAAATAAACACCTCAGTTGAAAGAAATAAATCAACTTCTAATCCTAGCAATTTAAACAGAATGAAATATTCAACTTCCTCTAGAAAAAGACAGTTTGGGAATGTGCCTGAAACAAAGTAGCATCATATATTTTCACATATCTGTATCTAAACATGTGAAGCTAGATATTTCATACACCAAAAGTTTTCCACATCCTGATATTACACAAATTTTCTTGTGTTATCGGTTTTTTTGTTGATTCCTTTTTGAAACAGAGGAATATAAAATTATATTTTCAGCAAGGAGGGAATCATTATGTGTTGAGCTCAATATCTGGGTGTAAGTTGAAACTTTCATGATGTTTAGCGAAGTTTAATACATTGAATCTCTAACCCTTCATTCTTTCCCTTTTAAGTCTATGACTACATAAACAATCTTAAAAAAAAATTACCACTTTATACCCAGATACTTTTTGCAATGTTTTCTCCAGTGAAGAACAATAGAGATCTGAGAATTTTCCACAATTCAACATTATGTTCTTGCTCTTAGTAAGGTTATTTCTGAAATTGTAGTTTCATACATAGATTATTTTATGATCTGTGCTACTTTAGTGTTCTTTGAAAAACTTTTATCCATCAATGTAAGTAATTTTGATTTATGCATTGAAAGTCATTAATATTATATTTTAGTGGTTTGTAATAGATGTATTACAAACATCGCTTTGATTAACATATACTCTCATTTTGCATTCTTCAGTTTTGCATAGGTATGATAAATTTTGATTTGCTTACCCAATCCATTTTGCATCTGTTTTTACAGAATGTAGAGCTGTCCATGTTTTTTTATTTCTGATTTAATTGCCTTTGGTGATATTTTGGGGCTATATTTCGGGAATAAAATTATTGCTTGTTCACTATTCATCAAAATCACAACAGTCTGTGTATATGCCATAATTCCTCCTATCTCTTCTCAAAAAAGTAGCCCAAATCTTGTGAAATTGGTAATTTCCGTGTTATTTGATACTCTTGTTCCTAAATCTTCAAGCTACTATGTGGATAGGTTAACAATTGAAAGACAATTCATGCCAGAATGACAAGATCCAATACATTTTCAATTTTTTGTTTAGGTACTAAGTAAGCTTCAATTTGACAAATGTTTTTTTCCTGATTTTCCAATAAATTCAGGATTTTTTGACTATGAGTTACACAATGTGTATTACAGTATTGTAAATAAATAAATATATGAATCATTTTAGAAATTTATTTATTTAGAATTTATTTTATATAAATCAAGAAATGTCACTGTAAGTTTTGAAACCACCAAGTTAAACAAGTTTGACACAAAACATTCATAGTAGGTGTAAGGATTAGTTACTGTTCCTGTATGATTTTGGCTTAACAATATTGCTACCAGGATTTACCCAGGCAAATAAATGTTTTCAGATAAGCTATCTTTATAATAACTATTAGACAAGTCATAACTAAAACACAAAAGAAGCATTTTCAAATACTAACTCTTAATCCAGGCATGTTTTTAGTTTAAAAAAGTCAAGACAGGGTCACATCAACAATGGATGCAGCTCTAATTATATCAACCCTCCTCCTCCTCCTCCTCCTCCTCCTCCTCCTCCTCCTCCTCCTCC